GTTTTTGAGAGCTCAAGGTTGACTTTGGGGGGCTGCACAACATTTCATGAGTGGTTGGCATGGGTTGAGAGTGAAGGTTGGGTAAGAGGTGACCTAAGGTGGGCTTTTCCCTTCACTCATTTGCCTATTGAGACAAAGGAAGGTCTCCTCACTCCCCATCCTCCTATTATTTCGTCCACCCCTATTCCATCAAGAGAGAGAGACTCTCAATACTCATATCCTCCAGTTTTGAAGTTATTCAAGGAAGGAGTTCAAGGAAGGAGTTAAGTGGGTGTATTTGAGAGGAAAGCTTCAGAAAAGAAGGTAAGAACCTTATTAAGACTTTTCTTACGACCATACAACATCATATGAATTGTTCACCATATGAAGGACCCCTATTATTGCTCTACATGTTAAAAAGTGTAGAAAGAGGGGTTGGAAGGTGGTTCTAAGTCCAAGAACGGACTTAGAGGCCAAAGAGACCTGTTCGCCGGAAAATAACCTTTGGGAGAAGGACCAAATATGACACTGAGATTTTTAATGAATCTCGTATTGGACACTGGGGTCTTTAGTAGACCAAATCAACACTGATTCCAATGTATGTGTTGATTATTGGCCACTCATTAACACCTCCGTTTAAAGAGTTCTTCTCCTTCGAGTAAACACACAACCCTGACGAGCGTAAAGAAAGTTTGATACTCTTTCTTCTTCTTGCTCTTTCCTTTCAAATTTCTCCGCTCGTCTCCGGGAAGTGATAGATTCTAGTAAAATGTGTTCTCTTTAAAGCGGTGTTCCATTCAAGAAAGGTCAGAATCATTAGCTTTTGGTTCGCCCATCATCAGGAGTAAAAAGACTTAGATCGAGATGCACAAGGTCACTACTCTTTAAGAAGATTGAATATCTGCAATGAATTTGTACTGTGGGGCTGTTTTTCTTCTTCATTGTGTTATTCCAGATCTTGTTACTTGGTTCATTTGTGAAAAAATCAGAAAATTTCACAAAAGAAAGTGATGTTGGGCCTAGGGATATGGAGTTCTTGAAAGAACTTGGTGGGTTGAATTTTTGTGAATATTTGAAGTTTGAGCCTTCCATAGCTAAGTTCAATGTGTATATTGGGTCTGGGAGAGCAATAGGATCTCCCCATAGGAAACCCAAACTCGGATTAGTGAGTATTCATATTATTTTGTCAATTATTGTTTGGGTTGTCGTGGATGGTTGGTATAACGATTTTCTGGTAATTTTTTGCTAATTTGTTGCTCATTCATTCCAAGTAATGATGATTAATGTTGCAGTAACTTGAGGGAGATTGGGTAGGAAGTTCAGGCGACTCACACTTGCAATCCATGGAGAATGGCTTAGGGATTGCAAATCGGGGGGAGGGGGGTGCTTTTAATCGAAGGAGAAGACGGTTGTTTAACGGGAGTGTTAGTGGGTGGCCAATAATCCACGCATTAGTTCAAATAAGTGTTTATTTGGTCTACTAAACACCATAACTTGGGGGGAAGACTACATGTATACGTATCACCCTATGTTTGGGTCTTATACTTGAAACGTTAGTTATTCTACATTTAGCCTGCTACTCACTCGGTACTTGTACTGACCCCTTCGGGGAGGCCCACCATTTCAGGTTGAAGCTAAGGCTAGCTATCCCCACCTTGCTCGGTGAAGTGATCCAAATGAAGACGTGGTTCGTGCTTCCTTTATTGTTTTAAACTACAAACTATGCTCATGGATACCTTGTAATAAGTACATTTGTTTTGGGTCTGCGAGCCCACGTTTTGGCCATGTGTGGCCTATGATTGAATATTGAATATTTCCATTATTCGTTCAATCCGAAAATGTGATGTTGTTATGTATGTTTACTTACTGAGTATGATATGAACTATGTTCATGGACGTCTTATATGATTAAGTCATGTTGACTTGCGAGTGACGTCATTTGGGCATACGGCGGTTGTACACGCGCTTAGATGCGGTCTGGGGCGTGACACACAGTTAGGTTCGGTTGTGATTTGATGACTTGTTTAATTAGAACCCATGATTAAGGGTATCTTGTTAAAGGTCTGTTTGGTCCACTTATACACCCGATATTGTCCAGACCGATTTCGTTAGAGGTGGTGTGTTAAAAGTATTCGTCCCACACTGAAACACTATAAAATAATAATTAAAAAACACTATATTAGACTTTGGACTACCTCTTCTATCAGGTTTACCTTTTATGATGGAATCTGAGATCTTAGCATCCAATTCCATGTCAATGTAATCCCATCCCGCTTCTTTGAGCTAATTAAGAGCTTTCCCTTGGCTAACACTTCCTTGGTCAACTGATGACACCTTATGAAATATTTGTACCATACCAGAAAAAAAAATCATGTTTGGTGTACACAAAATGTGTACACCTTTGACACACACTATATAAAGCTCCCCTCCATTTTTACCCCTTCCTTCCTCTCGTTTCTCTCTCTTTTCATACCAAAATCTCCCCCACTCCCTCTTCTTCTTTCCTTTATCTCAAATCTTCATCACATTCACACCCACCATCTTCATCTTGTTGACTCCCTCTCCAATTCTTCATCATTTTCCACTTCCATCTACCTCTTCATATTCATCACCTCTCACATCTTCCATAATCATCACCTCATCATATTTACCATTATCATCTTTTGGGATCGATTGGAAATAGAAAAGTTTGAGAGTCACCGAAAAGTCACTAGAAAATTAGAGATGAACATTCGTCGGAATCTTTATCTATGTATACAGACACTGGTTTTTTCAATGTCTATGTACCTAGACAAAATTGTTAAGCACATATAAAAATGTATAAATTCATTGTCTACATACAACTAAATGTTTATACACAGACATTGGTTTGTGCGCTGTGTTAGAAAAATGCCACACTCTGGTTGCACGGAACCCAATGTCCATAAACGGACATTTAGTTGTTTGTACAGACAACTTGTAATTTTTTTCATGTTTAACAATTTTTTCTGCACACACAAACAAAAACTTTAAGTATAGACGTAAAATGTACAAATTGCTTGTGTAGAGACAAATAAATGCATGTATGCAGACATTGAATTTTGTGAGGTGTTGTAGAAAAGCCAGAGTTTGGTTGCACATAAACCAAATTCTGTGCGTAGACATTTAGTTGTTTATAACTTTGTACACACACAATTTGTACATTTTTATCTGTGCTTAGCAATTTTGTCTAAGCACACAGACATTGGAAAAACCAGTGTCTATTTTACACCGACAAAAATTTCGACAAATGTTCATCTCAAATTTTCTAGCGACTCTGAAACTTTTTTTTCCAACCATGGAAGTTGATAATGGGAAAGATGATGAGGTGATGTATATGGAAGATCGTGAAGATTGGATGTGATGAATATGGTGAATAGATGAAAGTGAAAGATGATGGAGATGGTGAAGATGGATATGAAGTGAGGAAGGTGATAATGATGAATATGATGAGGTAGATGGAAGTGAAAAAATGATGGAGATGGTGAAGATGAAGATGAAGTGGGGAAGGTGAATGTGTAATAAAAAAGAAAGAAGAAAGAACAAGAGCGAGTGAGGAAAGAAAAGACTCTATAGTAAAGTAATGGGTGGACAAGAATGAGGTAGAATCTAAAATTAAAATCGTAAAAATGTAAAGTATTTATAATGTGTACCAAATGTGTTCAAGAAGCGGGCAGTTGGGTGATTATGTTTTTCAACTTATCGGACTTATCAATCAACTTTTAACCAAACATGTAACTTAGATTTCGCACGCTAAATTGTGTAATAATAATAAAATAAGATTGAAGTTACTTTTCTGACTGGATTGACTGAAAATTACCGTAGAAGATCATTTTAGCAGTTTTATATATAATTTTTTTCTTTATTTTATTAATAAATTATATTTTAAACATTTTTTATAAATTAGCATAATCAGCCAATCCAACAACTTCAATCAGAACTTCATAACTTTGAACCAATGGAAGGGGGATGAACATCTATAAATTATATATATATATATATATATATATATATATATATATATATATATATATATATATATATATATATATATATATATATATGGTACAGACGGTTGTACCATGCACGCCAGATATTTTAACTTATACCTAATGAGTATGTAGTTAAAATGAAATGAGTATTGATATTAAATTATAAAATTAATACATAAATATTAATATTGCATATATTATGTTTTGATTATGATACTTAATTATGCAATTCTAATACTCAATTGTGTTATATGTGCAATCATTTCATTCAGGATCCTCGGCCGGTACCAAAACCTAAATACGTTTGTCGGCTCTTTCTCTGTCTAGGGTGGGTTTCCACCGCTAGAGTTTTTTCCTCCGCTATCATTTTATAACGAGGAGCGGCCGCCGCAGGCGGGTTTAGGCGTACATGATTTCTTCTACCGCCATCAATTGTGCGGTTTTTCTTCTTCTTTTGTTTGACGAGATTAAGCGGAGGGAAGATGATGCTTAATCTTTGGCGGTTGAAGGTGGTGCAGGGACGGAAGATGGATGTTTGGTTTTCGGCGGCCAAAGATCATGGACAAAGCGTGGGGCTTGAGGCTGGAACAGATATGGATCGAGGTCATCTGTGTTAGGTGGCGACAAAGGAGGCTTGATAAAGAACATGATGAATAAGAGAAAAGACGAGGAAGAAACTACTATACTGCTAGATCGTCCTCCCCAGAACCGCCGCCATGGAATACAGGAGAGTCTAGACTGTGATATCAATGTAAGCCCCCTCTTCCAAAAAAACAACAATGCCTGATGTACCCACTCTTATACCCACCTTATACTCACCATGTTTGTGGAGGGTTTTTTTTGTCGAACCCGGTTCATAGACAATATTTTGTTTGTGCAAAATATTGTCTGTGAGGCGGGATTCACAGACAAAAAAAACACTTCACAAATATAGGTGAGTACAAAAGTGGGTATAAGAGTGAGTACAAACATCATTTTTGAAAAAAAATAATCAATTGTGTTATCAATACAGTGTATCTAATACTTATCCTCTTTTTTTAAGAGCTTATTACGAGTAACATAAAATTGCTTTCCTCTTGGGGGCCTGAAGGTTGCCAGAATGGAACACTTACAATTGATGCTCCCGTAGGCGATATCCATCGATAGGAAGATGCAGAAGGGGACGATTGACATGAAGGGTTTCCGATGGTGGGCGGTTAAGCTAATCGGTTTGGTACCGGAAAGGGTTGAAAATGGGTGATAAAAGAATGAAGAATCATATCAAGGGCGTAGTGGGGGATCCAAATTCCATACAGGTGGGTGTATTGAATTTGCTTTGAAGACAAGATACATGATTGTATTACTGTTTAGGAAGTTTTTTCTTTTTCCAAACTCAAAGCTCCCTGGACATCATCATTGCCGATCAGGACAGACGCTAAGACAATATATAATTGGTGAATCAAATGAAGATGCAGCCTAATGTTACATCCCCCGGCCGGAATTCTAACACCAAAATTCCTCAGCCCCTGCAAACTCCATGGAAACCCTCCTCCGGCTCCTGCTTTGTTATCTCATCATCTCTGCATTCCTTCAATACCTCGTATCCTCCGACGAGGAGACGGATTCTAGTGATCGTATTCTCCTGCCAGCACCTAGCCTATCTTCAACCTAGTGTTTCTTTTTTTATTTTACTGATTTTTTATGTATAATATCATTCCCAAATACACCTCTGAAAAATTCAAGGATCTGTTGAATGTCATTCTAGAGCTATTTTAGGAACGGCGGTAATTTTGCTCTTGACTGCAAAAACTTTTCTGTTACTTCGTCTACCATAGTAACCTTTTTACTTTATCAACCTGCTCTTTAGCCATTGCTGGGTTTGGAATTCCTGGAGGGTGAAACTTATTTTTATTAATTTGTTCATACACTTACGTGAGCTATTGGGCAGTAGCCTCTCTGTAGTATCCTTCTTTATTTGTAAAGTTTCAGTGGTAGATGTCTAAACTCTAAATTAATAATTGGGATGTGTGTTTCTTTCTAATACGTTGTAATATCTCATCAGTCACTTTTATGCACTTCCCACTTTAATGAATCAATTAATTATGAATTCAACTTGAATACTATTACTAGTATGATAAGGTTGTAACAAAGAGGTAATAAGACGCACTGTCTGTCCGCATGCAGTGGTTGTACTCACATCTCTCAAAGACCAGTGGAAAAACACGCCTCCAAGTTGGGAGAAATCAGACGATCCTTGTGGAGGATCCTGGGAAGGAGTAGCCTGCAAAAACTCTAGGGTTACTGCATTGTGAGGGACCTTTCCTCAGTATATATCTTTGACTAAGTTTAGCAGACGCTATTTTATGTCATAACTTGTCCGTTGTGCTGTTTCTACTACCTGGTAACATAAATTGAACTTAATATCCAGAGTTTTTTTCATTTTCTTTGGGAAACATCATATCATATTTTCTATTATTACTAATTTACCCAGTTGTTTACCATCCATTACACTGTATGTTTTGCAGAGACCTGTCATTTAACCGAGACCTCACAGGCTCTATCTCTGTAAGGATTGGAGATCTGCATAAACTAAGCATATTGTAAGGGGCCATTTGGTTCACAACATATTAGACTACACGTGGAATGTGATCTAACTTAGGAATGTTCGATTGTTGGAATGTGTTTAATATAATTATTGTTGGTATGTGTTAATATCAACTAATAATACTTTTTTATTTAATATGACTCTTACCAAAGAGGTCAAATCAAGCTAAAATGCTAAGAATAACCTACAAAATAAAGTGGTATAAAATTCTAAGATAATTTAAATATAACATGTGCAATTTCTAATTTAATAGATATTACCTGCAAAGTTGTTGATGGTGAGGAATGGCGCGTGCGCCATGTGGCCATATGGCAAGAAAATTGTCCTGCGCCATGGAAAGTCCTCATGGTGATGACCATACTCATGGCGGCGCCATATTTGCGCCATCTCAATTGCGCCATAGTATTTAACAAATCTGAACTAGTTTACTTTGTAATTTTGGGGCTTGTAGCCCTGATAAATACTTAAATAATCTGCCAGACATAATATTAATAAAACCCTAATTACAAATTAATATGTAGCCCATTATATTAACAAAAACCTATCAAAAGTAAATAAAGAGACAAGTAACACGTAAAGTCAGACAAAGCTGCTGAAGTAAACGTAAAAGCTGGAGTCTGAGCTGCGCAACAAGGAACGACTAAGGGAACTCCATGGAACCATGAAAATTTGTAGAAAATCAGAAACATAGAAAGGGGTGAGCCAGAAATATATGCTTTTCTCTAGGAAGAGGAAAAAAACGTTGTTCTTTTCATTCTCAATAAATTTGTAGAACCGACAAAGGGAGATTTTTTTCCCTAACCGACAATTTGTAGGACAACTTGTTATATCTTTAACATTTCTGCTTTTCTCCCAGATATATTTGAAAATCTCCCAATTGCATATATGCTTTTCTGAAAACCGATAAAAACAAGGTAACATGTTTTGAAAGACATGAAACTTTTTTGAATATTATGTTTTTTGGAACTACTTTAAACTATTTTAATTTCACATGTTTTGGTTAGAATGTTGGTATTCAATTTTTTTATATCATGTTTTGGTGTTTGGGTGATAGAATTATAGTGTCTATAATTCATATTTTTAGTTCTTTTTGTCATGTGGCGATGCCATAATTACGCCATCGCCTTGCAAAAGTGCCTATGCGCAATGGATGTCGCCACACACCATGAAAACTATGATTACCTGTAGTATCTCACATCTGGCTTCCGGCCAACCAACCCACAGTAATTTAGTTTGTTTGGATTTCAGGATTCTTGCTGGGTGTAGCTTTAGTGGCAGCATACCTGTTGATCTTGGAAAACTTTCAGATTTGTCCTTCTTGTAAATATATAATAAGTTTGGAAAACTTTATGAACTTCTTGAGTGAAACCTGTAAACCATCACTAACTTGTCCAATGATGGCTACTTGATAGAGCACTCAACTCAAATAACTTCACTGGTGAAATTCCAGCATCTTTGGGTAATCTATCCAAACTCTACTGGCTGGACCTGGCTGATAATCAGTTGACTGGATCTCTCCCTGTTTCGACATTCAAAAATCCGGGACTGGATCTTCTTAGAAAGGCAAAACACTTGTGAGTGATCTAGTAACATTTCAAACATTTTTTCTGTACATCTAAAGTACCCCCCCCCCCCCCCCCCGGATAGAGCCTACCTAATATCTGAATCTTTCACAGCCATTTCAACAAAAACCAGCTTTCGGGCACAATTCCTGCTGAATTGTTTAGCACTAACATGGTGCTCAAACATATGTAAGTCAAGATACCAGACCCATCATCGAACTAACCCCTTGATTCCCCTGTATCTCTTATCATCAAAGGTTCTGTATGGTAAACTGTTTGATGGGAATCAATTTAGTGGGAGTATACCATCCACAATAGGACTAGTTCAGACAATTGAGGTTCTGTGAGTACATTCAACCATCTCACAATTTCGCCTGCATTGTCATAGTATATGCATCTGCCTCTCAGTTCTTATATGACTGGATGGTATATTTATTAATGTTCATTCGTGCAGCCGGCTTGATAGAAATTTCCTTAATGGTAGTATCCCTTTGAATCTCAACAATCTGACAAGCACGATAGAATTGTGAGTACCTATAGTTCTCCATTTTAAGAAAACATATTGTTCTATTTGAATTTGAATGAATATGCAAGTCCTTGGCTGCAGAAACATGGCACATAACAAGCTGTCTGGCTCACTACCTGACCTGAATGGAATGAACTCTCTTAATTACTTGTAGGTGCATTTTGAAATTCCACGCTTTATTTTATGCTCATTTTCTGAAGTCTAATATACTTTCCAATATAACTTATTAACATGAAAAGAAGTATTAATTTTATTGGAGTCTAAAATCTTGTTTCTCTTCTTAGGGATTTGAGTAACAATTCCTTGCAGCAGTCAGAAGCTCCCGTCTAGTTTTCAACTCTACGATCACTTACAACTCTGTTAGTAATTGCAATATCATAAGTTTAGACTGTGTTCTTCTTGCATTGTTTTATTCTTCTTTTGTTTTATAAATATTTATTTAACAAATGGTATGTTGCTCAGGGTGATCGAATATGGCTCACTTCAGGGACCAGTACCTCAGGAACTTTTCAGTTTCCCCCAGATTCAACAACTGTAAGACCCACTTAAAGGCACACATAGAAGAGTAAACTTTGTTGTTCTCTTGTTTTTCTTACACACAAGGAACTTCTCCGTAAGAGAATTACTCAATAACTTCAAAAACATCAATAGGAAGCTTCGGAACAATGCCTTTAATGAGACTTTGAATATGGGCAGTAGCATAAGTCACCGATTGCAACTCGTGGATTTCCAAAACAATGAGATATCATCAGTAACCCTTGGCTCAGGGTACAGAAAGACAGTGATGTGAGGGGTAGTAAATTGAAGTTTTAAATCAAAATCAATTTCTGACAAAATTTATCTGTTCTTAGATTAATGAGCATTCTCTGTTTCATTCTTCAGATTAAGAGGGAACCCAGTTTGCACCTCCCCACTTGCTAAAACTGACTATTGTCAGCTTCAGCAACAAGCTGCAACCCCGTACTCTACCAGTCTAGCCAACTGCGGAAGCAAATCAACTTGTTCCTCTGATAAAAAACTTAGCCCGCAAAGTTGTGACTGTGCGTACCCATATGAAGGAACATTATACTTCAGGGCACCCTCCTTCAGGGAGTTGTCCAATGTTGAATTGTTCCAGTCTCTTGAAATGAGTCTTTGGCTAAAATTAGGACTCAGCCCTGGCTCAGTCTTTCTGACGAACCCCTTTATCAACATGGATGACTATCTTCTGGTGCATGTAGAACTCTTTCCATCTGCAGGAATGTATTTCAATAGGTCAGAAGTTCAGAGGATTGGATTTTTCTTAAGTAATCAGACATTTAAGCCACCTCCGAAATTCGGGCCTTACTATTTCATAGCATCTCCTTACACTTTTCCAGGTAGTGGAAAAGCACTGAGTCAAAAGTTTATTAGAATCTAAAATTCTCATGAAAGAAAATCCAACTACAGAAAACTTGCCTTTTTCAGCTAAGCATGGTGGAACATCCATAATAAGCTCAAGGCTGATGATTCTCGGAGTAACTGTTGGTTGTGCGTTTTTGGTTCTGTTGCTCACTGGTTTGGGAGTTTATGCAGTTCAGCAAAAGAAACGTGTTGAAAGAGCAATTGAACTGATAAGACCTTTTGGTAAAAATTATGGATTTGTTTATAAATAATGTATTGGACATTGTGCTTTAGGATATGTTCTCTTCACTTGAAAAAATGTGATCTGATTTTCTATAAGATCTGGTCTGGATATTTATGGTTGTATACTTGTATCAAGCTAAAAGAATTAAAGTATAAGATGAACATAATAGCATCTTAGTCTTGGTATGATACTCTGCTCCTTGATATTGTCCAGCATCTTGGGCTCCAAGCAACAAAGACAGCTGTGGCATACCCCAGCTTAAAGGGGCGAGATGGTTCTCTTATGATGAACTCAAGAAATGCACAAATGACTTTGCTCAGAGCAATGAGGTTGGTTCCGGGGGATATGGCAAGGTATGATGATATTACAAATAATGATGGAACTCAAATATACCCACCCTCCAACTAGCTACCAATTGTGCTACGGTAAATCTATATATTTCCTCTAATGGCATAGGTGTATAGAGGAATACTCTCATGTGGGCAAGTGGTGGCCATTAAAAGAGCTCAACATGGATCAATCCAGGGGGGACTAGAGTTCAAAACTGAAATCGAATTACTTTCTCGGGTACATCACAAGGACCTTGTTGGTCTTGTGGGATTTTGTTTTGAACAAGGAGAACAAATGTTGGTGTATGAATTTATGTCAAATGGAAGCTTAAGGGCATGTTTGTCAGGTAAGCTAAAATGGCTTTAGGTCACTACCTCAAGAACAAAAGCCAATGAGATAGAAATAATGAATCATAATTGAAATTTAGAAAATCAGACTCGAATTCTCTAGAATATATAATACGAGCAGGGGGTCTTCTATACTCTATATATTTAATATACACACACACATATACATATACACAAATGTTCCTCGAGTATACGTGACTGGAGCCTCCGTCCGGTCACCGTGTTTTGAGGTGGTTCCCAGAGGAATTTTTTGATGAATTTTTTTGAGCATGTTCTTCATCATGTCTAGTATATCCATACCAAATTTCAGCAAAAAATTCGATCGGGAAGGCATTCAAATGATTTTTTGAAAGATAACTGCATTTTATATGTATATAAAGGGCGCAGTTATCCTTCAAAAATCATTTGGTTGTCTTCTCGATTGAATTTTTTGATGTCTTCCAGATTGAATTTTTTGCTGAAATCTGGTATGGATAAACTAAACTTGATGAAGAACACGCTAAAAAAAATTCATAAAAAAATTCCACCAAGAACTACCTCAAAACGTGGTGGCCGGACGGCGGCTCCGGTCAGGAAGATTACTCTATACATACATACATACATACATACATACATACATACATACATACATACATACATACATACATACATACATACATACATACATACATACATACATATATGCATGCACACATATAGATACACACATATACATACACACGCATATATACATACATATTTACATATATGTATGTAAAAACAAAACAAAAAACAAAAAAATTACTTACATATTTACATACATATGTATAGAGGATTGCTCACCTCTGAACTATTGGACCAAATTTGTGTCCGAACTTGACAAAAAAACAAATGGTGGGTCTAACAAAAGGGGGACTTCAGTTAAAATGAGGGACCAAGTCAAATAATAAAACATACAATCACTTTTTTAAGCTTCAAAGCAGCAGTAGTATGATAGGAACTGGGCATATTAGTATTAGTATAACTAGTATAGTACCCGTGCATACGCATGGGATAGAGCAGTTGGTGCATATATATTTACTCATGATCCAATTAAATATTAAAATAAAAAGAACTTTATAGGATTTTTTTGCTAGACTTTGTAGTCTCTCTTTATAGTATATGTTCAATACTTCATTGTTAAATGTCAACATCCTTGACTGGGATGAGTTTCAAACTTGTGACTTCCTCCTTGGGAGTGTCAAAGTGATGTTATCGAACCACAAAATGTAAGCCCGTAAAATATACATTCAATGTCAAGTATATTAGGAAAAGTTTTATTTGAAAGAGTATATTAGGAAAAGTTAATTGACACTACTCATTAGAATTTGCTACTTATTCATTTTCATGATTAGATTAATTTTAAACTTAAATAATATTCTTAAAAAGTGAATACAATAAGTGAGTGACGTGAAGTTTAAGTGAATAAAATAAATATTAAAATTGACGAATATTAGGTAAATAATAACTTGTCATTCATTAGTAAAATAGTGTTAACATATGCGAGAGAAAATTAGAAAATTGTGTTGCTCAATTCTTAGCCGGCTTATCTGTTATACCTAAAACAACTACATATGAGAAAAATTCTCCCACCCGGACCAATTGTTAGCCGGATTATCTTATCTTATACCTAAAATCACTATGTATGAGAGAAAAAATTATACTCTTCAATTGTTAGTCGGCTTATCTTATACTAAAAAGAACTACATATATATGATGATTCCTCCGCTCAATTGTTAGCAACTTTATCTTCTAATAACTAAAATCACTACATATGAGAGAGATAAATTTTTCGCTTAATTATTAGCAAACAAGCTTATCATGTCTTATCAAAAAATACTACATATGAGAGAGAACATTCTCCCGTTCAATTATTAGTCGACTTATGTTATACTTAAAAGCACTACATATGGAAGATAAAATTTTAACGCTCAACGGTTAGCCGGATTATCTAATATGTGAAGGGAGTACTTAAGAAGAACTACCCGTGAGAGTGAAAGTTCTCTCACTAAATTGTTAGCAAGTTTGTCTTCCTAGTTTCTTCTTATATGCCTAAAAGCACTACATATGAGAGAAAATTATTCCGCTCAATTGTTTAGTTTTCTTATCTTATACTTAAACCTACACATGAGGGAGAAAGTTGCTCCGCTCAATTGTTACCAAGCTTATCTTCTACTACGTAATACCTAAAAGCACATATGAGCAATAAAATTCTCCCGCTCAATTCTCCTTCTCAATTGTTGGCACTGTTTTGCACTGCTTGGTGCAGAGTTGTTTGCTAAATAAGGAAGTGTAAAGTTTAATATGAGACTGTCCAAAAGGAAAGTGTAAACTTAATTTAGAACCGGAGGGGGTACTTAAAAGAACTATATATGAGAGATAAAGTTCTTTCGCTCAATTTTTAGCAAGTTTATCTTCTAATAACTAAAAGTGGTACATATGAGATAGAACATTATATTGCTCATTTGTTAGCCGGGTTTTCTTATACGGTTATACCCAAAAGTACTATATATGATACAAAAAGTTCTCTCTCAATTGTTAGTTGGATTATGTTATAGTTAAAAGCACTACGTATTGAGATGAGAGATATATATATCTCGCTCAATTGTCAGACGGCTTATGGCTTAATCTTTCTTATATCTAAAAGCATCACATATTTTGTTACGGAAGAAGTACTTAAAAACACTACATATGAGAGAGAAAATTATTCCGCTCAATTGTTAGGCGACTTATCTTATACCTATAAACATTATATACGGAGTATAAGAGAGAAAACTACCTCACATCCTCCACAAATGTGTAATGGTTCACCTAATAACAATTTTGTTTCACCGTCTTCCACATTTTCATTACTTAATTAAATAATTCCATTTTGATTAACTTGTTGTCCTTCAATCTAACATAACTTTCCATCATTAGATTGTTAGTTCTTTGAGTTTTTTTCATACAGAGTATATCTTTTCGATTGCAAGAACTTCTACTATGCAGGTTTATTATTATGAATAGTGTGAACTTTTGATTTGCAAGTTTATTTTCATTAGACTTCTTATTTGCTTCTTATTTTTTTTATTAGAACTAATTAGATTTTCATTTGCGGGTTTTTTATATATTAACCCAGTGCACATCAAATTATAAAATACTTTAAAAGTATTCTTAAATAAATTTAGTATTTTTAGATTTTTCCTTTCATGGCTTGATTTTGACTTTAGAGACCATTTAGTAGTACTGAAAACAGCTGAATTTGTTGAAATGGATGAAATTCTGAGAGAAGTGGTTGAATTAGTTGAATCTTTTGGTGTATGGATGAATTTAATTTAAATTACTTTTATTAATAAAATAAAGAAAAAAAATATATGAAATGTAGCTAAATATGATCACCTACAGTAACTTCTCCAATTCAGGCAACAAAATAGATCAGGAAATGTATATAAATAATCTTAAACATAATTATAGTGACCGTTAATAATTTTTATTTATATATTTGATATGGATCTCATATGAAAGATCACAAAAAAATATGAATTTTGATATATTATTTATAAAATTTGAATTAAAAATGAAAAAGTTATAACAGTTTAAAGAAATTTGGGGTTTTTTATAGCTTGGGGCCCACCAACTTCATCTCCCCTCTTTTCTTTCAATTTCTACGTGAGAAGTTCGACACTTTGAGTAAAATGGCCACGTGTCATTAGTATAGCAAATGAGACAATTAAGGAGAACTCGACACCTATGATTTATTAAGGGTAAAATTGTATTTTGATATAAGCTATTTCTTTTCTTATACTCCCTCCGTCCCAAAATCGTTGGCCAATGTTGACTTGCACGTGGATTAATAAAGTGAAAACTGTGTGGTTAAAATTTGTGCAGAGGAGAGAGAATTAACTTTAGCCACATATTCCTTACTTTAAATGGAAATGGCCAACCATTTTGGGACGGCTAAAAAAGGAAATTTGGCCAACCATTTTGGGACGGAGGGAGTATATAAATAGATAATTATAGTAAATAATTGTGATAGTATACAAATAATGGTTTCTGGGCCAGGTAAGTCATGAGTTGAGTCGGCCCTTTTGATTTAGTAAAAGAATGGGAGGGAGGGAGGGAAGCAGAAATTGGATTTGGAAATGGGCCTTAGAGTGCGAGAGACTACTTGAAGTTTCTCAATAGTGTCCGTTCTTCTCTTTCTTTCAGTCACTGTAATCCTGTTCGTTTCTAAAATCTTCATCAATGACATACTAATTTTCTAGTGCAAGTTTGGTGGAGGTAGAAGTAGTAGTAATAATGAGATTACTCTTGATGACAAAGAGATATCAGTGTTTTTGATATGTTCCGTAAATTGGGATCCATAATTAAAAAGGATGGTGAATTAGATGGAGATGTGTCTCATAGAATCAAAGCCGAGTTAATGAAATGGAAGAGTGCATTAGGATTTCCATGCGATCGAGGTATGTCGACTAGACTGAAGGGTAAATTTTATCGCACAACAATTATGTTTGCATTAATGTATGGCATAGAGTGTTGGGCGGTGAAACAATGTCACATTCAAAAGATGAGTGTGTCAGAGATGCGTATGTTGCATTGGATGTGTGGACCAGAAAAAGACCGCTTGAGTAATGAGATAATCAGACAAAAATTGAGAATAACACCTATAGAAGATAAGATGCAGGAGTAGTCCCTATTGCGGTGGTTTGGTCATGTGACCAGAATACCGAGTGATGCGCCTGTTAGACGACTTGAAAGGTGGGGAGAAGAGGCGAGGAGGAGAGGGTGAGGAACACCAAAACATACTTGAATTAGAGGAATCAGAATTGATATGCGTCTTCTTGGGTTGGATGAAAGTATGGCTTTGGAGAGAGCGAAGTGGAGGGCGCACATTCATTTGGACGATTGATCTCTTTTCTATCTTTTCTAGCTCCTTTTTCTTTTATCGTTTATCTTCTTTATCTTTCTATATTCTTATGTAATTTTTATCTTCTATCTTTCTTATGTTATTGTTATCTTATATTTATATTTATCTTATCTTATTTATCCTTCTTCTTCTTCTTCTTCTTTTATTTCTTCTCTTTTGCCTCTGATATAATAGATCGATTCATGTTACTGATCCCAAAAAATTTTGGGATTAAGGCTTGGATGATGTTGTTGTTGTGGATGGTTGAGTTCTCTGTCAACCTGGCCCCTCATTTTAACTGAAGTCTCCCTTTGCATGGTCGATTCTTGTTTTTATTGAAATTCGGACACAAATTTAGTCCAGTAGTTCGGAGGTGAGCATTGAGCAATCCTATATATGTGTGTGTTTTGCTAATCCTGCATTCAATAATAGTCCCATTGTTCCAAAACTTCCAAATTTAGTTCCTCGTTGTTTTCTTCATCCCTTCTCTGTTCTCACTCTGTTCTCTGTGTCGTTCCCTTCATCCGTTTTCTTTTTAAAAATCGTTCGCTTCTTTAGTAGGCTTAAGTTGTTCTGAGTTCTGACAGCAATAATAAGTCATCGGCTCATGTCAAGTGGGTTATCTGATCTCTTCTGAAAATAGCCCCTTCAAATGTTTTGTACTAGTATTTTATACTCCGTTTTTAAACTTGTTATGTTCCAAGTGTTTTATGTTATTGCTTTCAGTCTTGACATTATATTTTTATTAATTACGTAGTAATTATTAATTTTAATAATAATATAAATTCAGTGTTTACATAGAATTGAATTGTATATATGTCTATATAGAATAGAGATCAAATACAAAGTCTTCTTAATTTACAAAGTACAAACTCATCTTGACCGTCCGATGAGTTGATCCAAAGGACATAAAGGCAAGGTGTCATTTTTGTAATAAAACCCAACTTTTTAGGGTGCAACTCGTTGCACCTTAATGGTTAAGGTTAGTTGTAACGCATAATAATCCTGCTCAGTCCCCCATCATAATTATCAATGGTTAATAGACAGGGCCGTCTAATGAATTTGGAGGTCCCGGTTCAAAATGTAAAAGCGGGGCCCCAAATTAATATAAAAAATCATTAAAAAATCTCAATCGAAATATTTATACTCAAATCAATGGAATACTCATTAAAAGAGAACTAAAAGAGTAAAATGACTAACGAAAAAATGATGTATCTATATTAATATTAATATAATTACTAATAATTTTTTAAAATATGGGGCCCCTTAAATCTGGGGGCCCTGTTCTGAATAACCTATTAAACCCCCTAAAAAACGGCCCTGTTAATAGAAACACTAAAGAAATTTATTGTCTTGTTGTGTATGGCAGGGAAGAGAGGCATTAACATTGATTGGAAGAGGAGACTTGGCATAGCTCTTGGTTCAGCCAGAGGATTAGCTTATCTACACGACCTAGCTAATCCTCCCATTAATCATGGAGATGTGAAATCCACAAATATTCTACTGGATGAGAACTTAACAGCTAAGGTTGCTGATTTTGGCATGTCCAAGCTTGTAAGTGCCGCCACAAAAGGACATGTATCCACACAAGTCAAAGGCACATTGGTGAGCTGTACAAAAAGATCTGCTTTATGTAATAATGGCCTCTTAGAATGTTTTTACTGTAATTTGCTGGTCTGGTCTGGTCTGGTAAGGTCTGGTTTCTTTGTATTTTTGTAACTATACAAGTCTGGTCTGGTCTGGTCTGGGACAAATTACAGTCCAAGTAAAAAGGTGTACCCAAAATTCTAAACATTACTCCCAATAAGGTCAAAGATCAGTTATTAAATAATACTACGTACTACGTAATACATCAAGGAAATAATTGCTTTAAACAAAACAAGAATTATCTAATAATCCGATTAATCATGCTTTGTTAGTAATTAAAGTATTCAATTTCATATTTGTGGTTGATAAGCCTTACAAATTAGCCCTACATATGGGCCTCTAAAAAATTCGGGGCAAACTTGTTGCGCTTATGCTTAAACCTGGGGTTATTAAAAAAACATGTTCCCAAAAGTTTGTGCCGGTTGTTTTGAAATTTCTGAATCTTCACATATTTGATTTAACCCCTACAGGGTTATTTGGATCCGGAATACTATATGAGCGAACAGCCAACGGAGAGAAGTGATGTATACAGCTTTGGCGTTGTAATGCTTGAGTTGATCACAGCCAATTGAAAAGGGAAAGTACATTGTGCCAGAGGTTAAGGCGAACATCAAGGATGGGGAGGAACATGTTGGATCCCGGTATAAGAAACGCCATTGGGACAAACTCCATATCTGGATTGGCAATGCAGTGCGTGGAAGAATTAACTGTTGAGCGGCCAACAATGAGTGAAGGAACTCGAAACCATCCTCCTCCTAGATCAGAACCATGATGCTGATGGGCTGAACACAGCATCCCCCATGTCAGCTTCCTCCTCTGCCACATACTTCGGATCGTCAACAAGAGCCGGTATCCCCCTTGCACACCCGTACAAAGATAATGCCTTCCTTTGATTATAGTGGTGTCACATTCTGAGCAACAATTGAACCCAAATGAACCTGCTGCCCTGGACATTTTGGATTTATATGTCAACCCTGGAGAGATATTCTCTCCGTCCTTTAAAACTTTGTTAACTTTCCTTTTTAGAATATCCCAAAAATTTTGCAACTTTTCGTTTGAATCAACTAATATGTAATTTCTGTTATTTCTCTTCTCTACAAAAAGATCAATCACACAGTTTTTACTTCATTATCTTTCGTGTCAGTCAAACTTTACCAAGTTTTATGAAATGGAGGGAGTATGCCAATAGATACAAATATGTAATAATGACTAATGACATTTAGCGCCTTTTGTGTATTCTGTTCCTATATAGGGAGGGGGCTTGAACTGTCTAGCCGTCTAGGTGGAAGTTTTCCATTGCACACCACCACCACTTCCACCATTGTTGCTATTTGTGTTAGTGTTAGGCTGTTAGCATTATTCTTATTTAAATTGCTATTATTATTACGGTTTTAGTTATCAGTTATCACCACCATCATCATTCTTACCATTCCTATTTTTCTTGTTACTGTTATTATTATTTTATTATCTCGTATTACATCTCTTGAGAACTAAGATTAAACTAAGATAGCCTGGTTTCGTACGACTGTTTAAGTTTAGTATGAGTTAGGATTGTAATCGTCCAATTAAAAACATCATATAAAGGATATATTATTGGAAATGGAACCCAATGTTTTTTTTGTGAAATTTGTGTGCCTTATTACAAAAATGTTAAGCACAAACAAAAATGTACAAATTATCTGTGTATAGACAACTAAATGGTTGTACATGGACACCAAGTTTCGTGGTCAAGTCTGGCATTTTTGCAACACAGCACACACACCAATGTCTGTACAGAAAATTTGTACATATATTTTACTTAATGATTTTGATTGAGTACATAGATATTGAAAAAATCGATGTCTGTATACACAGACAAAAATGCTCATTAATAATTTCTCGATGACTTTTAGATGACTCGAAATCTTTTTTTTCAATCAATCCTAAAAGATTATAATGGTAAAGATGATGAGGTGATGAATGTGGTGAGGTAGATGGGACTGGAAGATGATGAAGATGGTGATGGTGAATGCGATGAGCCGATGAAAATGGGATAAACAAGAAAGAAGATGAGGGAGTGAAAGAGATTTTTGTATAAAGAGGAGAACTTTATATATAACGTGTGTGAAAGGTGTAAATGTTTTGTGTGCATCAACTCATCAAGCATGATTGCTATCGTGAATCAGCTAAAAAATAAAATTGAGCATTTTTCTTTATAGTTGGAGGTCTAATTAGGTATAATAGAAGGATTTATTATTTGATAGTTTTTCCAAAAAAATAAACTTCATCATTCCAGAATTAATCAATAAGGCAGAAAAAGTTGTACCAAAATTGGGGGGTCAATTTTGGTGGACATGGCCAACATTCCGTTTATATATTGATCTATTTTCTCTAAGAGCATGTTTGGTAATATTAAAATCGGGTGAATCGATTGAATCTGTTGAAATTTGTGAAGTTCTAGTTGAAGTGGTTTGATTGACTTGATTCTATTGATTTATGTAAAATTTGTATTAAAAATATATTTTATTAATAAAATAATCAAAAAATTATACAAAAATAGCTAAAATGATCCTTTACAATAATTGCAACCAATACAGACAGAAAAATAACTCCAATCTTATTTTAGTATAAGTATTACTTCGTATTACATAATTCAACGCGCGAAATCAAAAGTTACGTGTTTGCTGAAAAAATTGGCTGATAAACGCGATTAATTCCGAAAAAACATTATCTCCAAATGGACTCTAAATGTTTTCCGTAAGCATTAATGGATTCCAGTTTTATGCCCCACCCATTTGTATTTTCTAATGATTTTTAGTATAATCTTATAAATGTTTTTTGACATTTATAAACAACTCCTATTTACAAACTACAGACTCATTTTGGTCATTCTATGAATTGATTTAAAGGCTATAGATGCACAGTGACATTTTGGTAATAGAATCAAGCTTTTTTGGATGCAACACTTTGAACCTTAATATGCAACAACCTATTTCATTGCAAAATAATATGCAACACTTTGAACATTAATATGCAATACGATTCATATGCACTTCAAGTAAATCAGGTTGCTTGAGCGGAAGAAGACTGGATATATTTGGGTTTGGTTATGGATGCCATTAGACAATTTACTTCAAGGAAATGACAATTTTATAGTCTTTTTGCAAGAGGTCTGCAAATCGAGTTACTCGTGTTTTAGCTAGAATTATCGTTTTAAGTTCAGATCATAGGAATTCTCAAGAGTCTTTGCCTTTGAATCAAGGACATGCTACCATGCTAGTTTACCATTAAAAAAGATATGCAATACGAATAGTGTAAAGATGAATCTTACAAATATTTACACAATAAGCATTGTTTGTAATAATTGAGCGGAGCGCCGTCCGACCACCTCAATTTGAGGTACTTCCGGGTAAATTTTTTGATGAAATTTTGTTAGGATGTTTTTCATGAAGTGTAGATTATGTCCATAAATTTCAGCATAAAATTCAATCTATAAGTCAATTAAAAATATTATTGAAAAAGATGCACCAAAATATATATATAAACGCAGTTTTTTTTAATAATTTATTTAGCTAACTCCCCATTGAACTTTAAGCTAAACTTTTTTGGAAATAATCTATATACTTTATGAAGAACACGCTCACAAATAATCATAAAAAAAATCCACCAGAAGCACCTCAAATTGAGGTGGCTGAAAAGCGCTCCTGTCAGGTAATATATGACGGGAATATTTGTGTGTGTGTGAAAGGAATCAAATACAAACAATTCCTAATTTACCAATTACAAACTCAACTTTGTCATTCGATGAGTTGATGTAAAGGCTATACTATACACGTACAAAAACATTTTGGTAAAAAAACCAAATTTTATTCGGATGCAACACTTTGAACGTTAATATGCAACTGTTTATTTCATTGCAAAATACTACCTCCGTCCCACTAAGATTGGGACGGAAGAAGGTGGCACGATTATTAAGAAAAGTGGGTTTGTGTGGTTGATATTAAATTGATAAAGTAAGAATAAAGTAAGAATGGTTTGGAGCAACACAATCTTTACCAAATTTGGTATGAGACAATCTTAATGGGACTTCCCGAAAAGGAAAAATGGGACAATCTTAGCGGGGCGGAGGGAGTAATATGTAACACAGTGACTGTTTATATGCAATACAAATAACGTAAGGATTCGTCGTATAAATATTTGTACAATAAACATTGTTTGTACTTGATCAGCCCCTATGTGTGTATAAAATATAAAATGTGGAAATAAAGTTAAATAATTTACTTTAGTTTATATTCCATGTTTGTATTTTAGAATTTACCGCAAAGTGTATTTTTTTTATATTTTATTATTTGATAAATGTCTCTATTTTAAATTTTTGACTTGTAATTTCTACATTTGATTTATTTACTATATTTTGCAATTTTGACACTTCAACGATTCAGGAGTTAATCGAACAATTGGTTCAGGGGTCTATGTGACCCATAGGATCATTCAAGTCAGGTTTTTTTATTTTCGAGAGAGGTGAAACTTTCATTGTGGGGTTTTAAAGAATTGATACGGTTTTAGAGAAACATTGTGCGGTGAATCGAACGATCGGGTTTTAGAGATCCACTACCAGTCATCAAAAGATGAAACTTTCATTGTGGTTGAACACGTAGACAGGTGTTTTAGTCCTACTTTGGCGATTTCCTCATATATTTGAAGTAATTGTTTCCATATTTGTAACTATTTTATTTGTGGGGTATATCTTTTCCTTTAAATCTTTAATACAGGATCATAGTTCTGGGAAAAGTAATTATTTTAAAAGCGCCAAGAACTTAAGTAATGGAGTATGACACCGCAAATCACTGAATCCTTTAGAAATATATATATTATTCTTAAAGCGTGACAAAAAAAGTTGCCCCTTGAGTTCATCAATATACCGCTAACGAGAAAAAAGACAGCATAAAGCATTATTGAATTACGAAAGCTAACCTACTAACCGATGAAAATACAACAATGGTTGGTTTCTGTTTCAAACAAAAAACCCACACACACAATAAACAAAGACTTGCAAAGATTTGCTTATTCTTTCAAAAGTAGAGTGGTCTCGGCAATCATGGAGGTTACGACGTAGGGATCCATGTTGGAAGCTGGCCTCCGGTCCTCAAAGTACCCTTTGCCATCCTTCTCTGTATCACGTCCCACACGAACAGACGCACCACGGTTCGCAACTCCCCATGAGAAGGTGTGAATGTCAGCGGTCTCATGCCTTCCGGTCAGACGGCGCTCATTGCCCTCCCCATATGCAGCAATGTGATCCTTGTGCTTCAGCTTCAGCTTTTCAATAGCCTTCTTAATCACTTCAAATCCACCATCATTCCTCATTGACTTGGTGCTGCAAAAGAAGAAAAAAAATAAGGCAAGGTTCATTTGCTAACCAGGCAGGCCATATGAAATCCGTTAGTACACAAAAGGCATTCTTATTCTAAACGTTACCTGTAGTTTGTGTGAGCCCCGGCACCATTCCAATCACCAGGAATTGGTTTCGGGTCAAATGAGACGACCACTCCAGAAATCTCCGCAATCCTCTCGAGAATATACCTAGCCACCCACACCTCATCACCAGCTGAAATTCCAACCGATGGACCAACTTGGAATTCCCACTGCACATTATCATAAAACTTGTTCATATTAGAAAGAATATATTGTCAAATATTTTTCTCTAAGTCTACAAGGCCAACCAAAAGAATCAATAAAGAAGAAAAGGAAAATCAAAGGTTTGGTAAAGAATTAAAGTAAATTGTTTGATGAAAAGCTAAAGGCTGTAAAGGAGGAAGTCATGGGATCTTATAGTTGATTTTTTTTTTTACTTTTGATGTATACATTAAAATCATTGTATGATATACCATTCCAATAAACTTATTTTAGGCTGTACAGACTAAGAATCTAAAAATGTCAAAAAAATCAAAGAGCAAATAAACATATTTCATTTTGCCTTCCTGTGATAAAAATCAAACATCAGGAGAAAATAAAATTGAATTCCAACATACACTTCAATTTTCCGTTCAGACTACAATACAACATACTTCGTATGTAAAAACATAAACCAAAAATCAAGTACACTGCAACATAAAATAAGAATTTAACCTGTCCAGGCATCACTTCTCCATTAATACCGCTGATGTTGATCCCAGCATAAAGGCATGCTTTGTAGTGTGCGTCAACAATGTCACGCCCAAAAGCTTTGTCAGCTCCAATTCCACAGTAATATGGTCCCTGTTAACATAATATCATACCATATATTTGAGTGCTTAATATTTTATTTATAACAAGTAGCTTTTGCTATTATAATATGGTGAAAGAAGCCCCAAAATCATGGCTTTTTTGGAGCCCGATTGATGAGTTAAAAGTTGGCTGTAGTGATTAAATCTGCTAATATAAAAATTGCAGCTGAAATTTCTGAATGAAATGAATTATCTTAAAATGTATCCGTGTGTTAATTTTAATTTTTAATAAACTAAAAAACAAAACTAATTCTTAATTTTTTTAAGCCTTAGTCCCAAATAATTTTGGGGTTGACTTTTTAATGAACTAGTTAAGTAAAACAAATTGGGGTTGACTTTTTAATGAACTAGTTAAGTAAATTTAATAACTGAATGAAATGAATTTTCGAAAAAAGAATTAAACAAAGTTACTCCGTGACTTAAAGATGAGGCCATGAAGGGCAGCCATGTCATTTATCGATTACATTTGTTTCCTTCATATTTTTATTATGATAGGTCAGATTGGTACTCGAAGTTGCATAAAAAGGGTCAAATAAGTCCTTACATAGGAGGCTCTTTCCGGCGGTCGCCATTTGGGGCGGTTCCCGGTGGATTTTTTTGATGAAAATTTTTTAGCATCTTATTCATTAAGTCTAGTTTACTCATACCAAATTTCAGCTAAAACTTAAATCGGGAAGGCATTCAAATGAATTCTTGAAGATAACTGCACCCAGTTATCTTCAAGAATTCATATGAATGCCTTTACTCAACCAATATGACCCTTTACTCTTAAAAAAAACTAACTTCTGGACTTCAAGGGGCCACCCACATGGGCTCCTAATCCTTTACTCTAGATAAAGAGCAATTAACTTCCTTCATTCTTTAAAATCATCTTAGAACTGAGATTAGTTGGATTGAGATGAAGCATTAAATGAATTTATATATACCTGGGGTCCAGGGAAACCTCCAGCAGGCCATCCTAGTGGCCAATTAACATTCTTTTGGAGGAGAGTATACTCTTGCTCAATTCCATACCTGATTAAAATAGATTATCGTTCGAAGTAATAACATGATTTTTTATTATAATAATGCGAAACAATGAAAAGATAAAATGATGCCAACGATGTAAAGTTGCAGCGTATACTTGGTAATAAAAACTACGTAATAATTAATTACCATGGCTCCTCTTTGAGGACATCCGGGTTGCTAAAGATCTTGGCAGCATTGTGTCTCTTATTTGTGGGAATAGGCTCACCAGCAGGAGTGTATGCATCGCACATCACCTAATTAACCCCAAATCTTAAAACTCATATGGCAAGCTAAAAATTGCAAAGCGAGCTCACTTTGCTAAATGCATTACTTAAAATGTAATTAAAAAAAATAACTTACTACCTACGCTTCATTAAGTAAAGTATCATGTCCATAACAAGTCAAAACAATTTTTTCCTTGTAATTTGGCAAAAAGGGTCTAGTGACAAGGTACTTCTCATAAATTTAGTTAAACCAACACATAAATTTAATATTAAAAAATATGAATTTATGAGAGAACTTCAATGATACTAACAAATGTTATATTTTGATCAAACAATGAATATATTTGGGTTGGAGGTATTGAAAACGCTCAATAAAAAACTTAATAATTATAAAAACAAAGTAAAATAATTGATATTAAAATATGAAATCTCTAAAAAAATATACTCCGTAGAAAATAAATATAATTCAAGAAAACACAACAAACATGTATATTTTGTCTTTTAAAATGTTTTTAAGTAAAATGGCAAGATTGATACGGAGTAGTTTTTTCAACATGAGGGCGCTAATAGAATAAGTCAATGGTAGGTACAACAACCAGCGCTTAAAAGAAGAAGCAAACTCACCAAGATATTGTTGCCCTTCCTAAATGGATCTTTGAATATTGCCTGGGGGCTGTTTCCCATAAATATACAGTCAAACAAATTATTATTAGCCTCAAAGGCAAAAAAAGGAATGAAGAAAACAAAATAATCTTTGAAGGGCGCAACTTACTATAGGATCACTTCACTGTCTTCCCCGGGAGCTTGGCCGGTGCTCGACCCGTCATAGTTCCACTTGGGAAGCTTGGATGGATCGCTGACCGGACCAGCAAGGGTCTGCGCACAAAATTCAATTGAATTCAATTACCCCAAGTCAAGGAACTTCCACTAAGAAAGTTATTGCAAGAAAAAGATGAAAATACCCGGGCTTTGCTTCTGAGGTCCATACCAGATCCGCCGATCCTGTTCAATCAGATCACAGGCATTGAGGTGTACAAGTAAACAAAAACTTCTCATCTGTTTGGTCAAACATATACACAAATCCATTTTTTCTAAACCCTAAATTTCCAATCATTGATGAATGATGACCCAACAAAACCGATGCTCACTAATCCAAACCAACTCCTCGGGCTACGCAAAATGATAAACAGAAATACTAAACGCAAGGAGTTGGTAAGAAGGCATCAAGATTCGAACATACAACTTCAGATCGGATCAGAGTAAAACAGGGGACAAAACCAGAAGAAGAGCAGAGTAAAGCAAACATGGAAACAAATAAAATCAAATCACACATCAAGCTAATCACGCGTCCATATAATAATTAAAAAATATGAAAGGGAAAAACGGGATCCAAAAGGAGTAAAAAGAACAAAAGCAAACAGGACCCATAAAGAAGCAGGAGGGCCATAAAGAATGCAGAGCGGAGAGATGGTGACTGACCATATGTACTCGGCGATGATCTTATCTGTGTGGTCGGAGAGGTTAAGGTTAAGGAGATCTGAAAGCGGCTGAGACATTCTGGGAGAGTCCTCGCTGGGCTGGGTCTTCTACTAGCAACAGAGTGGAGATGGTGAGATATGAGGGAGAGATTGATTGAGAATTTATAGGGAGAGAAATAAGAAGAGGTTTTTGTATTCCAAACTAATTCAGAATCATTTGTCGTAATATGTAGGTCCCACACTCCTACCGCAAAAACGATGTACGGAATGGTGGTTTAAATGAGGTTTTTTCTTTTGCTTATACCAACCAATCAATCCACTTGTCTGGTTTTTAAAAGATTTAATTTTGGAGGTGCATATTTGTTTTAATTGCAAATTGGTGGTAGTATTAATTGTTATGATCTCACTAGCGGTTTATATAGAAAGACATTCTATATACCGTATCCGTTAGTGTCATTGTATCTCTCTTTTTTAATTTGTTTTAATACTATGCTTCCGTCCTAAAAAAAATACTATACTTCCGTCATTTTTAAAGGATAAATTACTTAGGATTCATATCGTTACAATAAAGTCAAAGAGATCAATACTGAAAAAACTATTCGTAACTAACTAGCACTATCAATCTTACGACTAAACTTATAAACAATCACCCCAGAAAGAGTAGTATGAATCGCTAGTCACCAAACGGGTGTGACACAACAAATAAAACCTAGCAGAATTATCAATTCTTATTGTAGACCTAAAACTAAAGTAAGACCATAAAAGATAAAATAATTGACAAACACTCCAAACTCCTTTTTGCCAGTATTCTTGAAGTATCACCTTCCAAACCCTAGCACCTCGGTCGCTCCAGGGCGGTGGATCACCAATTTGTCTTCTCCCTTGCTCAGGACTCGATCCAGAAATTGTGAGGCGATTTTCGAACTGAAAGTATCAATTACAGAAACATCAACCATAGAGAAGCAGACTATGGTAAAACGGAACGTGGTAACACCCACTGTTATGACATTCAAACAGTTATGACATATCCTATTGTGAGCCCTGAGAATAGACTTAGATACAACCACCTCATATAAAGCAACCTGATTTGCTAGACACGAAACAAACAGTATATTGATATAAAGCCTAAAACAATCGGGGCTGAAATACTATCTATAAAACGTATGCCAGGAGTCCAATTTTTCCAACCAAACCTAATGAAATTGAAATAAAAACAAGTACCAGTAATGGAAAAATAAAATTGAAATAAAATCTTCCCACAAAACTCTTCATGGCATAGAGGTGATTCTGGAGGAGGACGAGCTCTACCAATGTCTACACACTCTAGAAGAAAGTGGACAGAAGCACCTGACCAGACGAAGCTAGCCGAGACACCAACAGAACTCCCCACATCGAGAGAGACAAACCAGCCCGGAGCACCAGTGCAGCAGTGATCGGGAAAGAACCGACATAGAACAAAGTCAGCACTATCAGAAGAGAAGAACAATCCAATTGAATCATACATCTATCAGAAATCTTTGAGTGTTAGATGTCACCATCAGATAGTTTGAATCAAGAAGTAATGAGGCCAAAAATTCATATCCTAGGATGAGAGATCTGATCGTCGGTGATAGCTTCCTAACAGACACCAAAATGCTTAGGGAGAAGGGAGAGCTAAATATAGAGAGATAACTCGGTAATAAATGATATTCCAACCCCTACAACTACCCACAAAGGGGGTATTTATAGGGGTAAAGTGGGTTGGGCCCCCATGTCTTGGGCCTGGGAAGTCCGTTACAACTATGGGCCGCTAGTGGGCCGGTTACACGTGTATAAGTCCGTATACTGGTTCTCTGCCTGGTGTGGTACCGAGGTGCCTCCTTCCGAGGCGCTTTGTTCCCTCGTGCATGGTGCCGAGGTGCGTATTGATGTAGCAGAGAAAACAGCTTCTTGAGCCTGGACTGGGCCATCCGTGCAGGTATATGGGCGGTCAAGGTGCTTGGGAGTATGTGGGCTGTAGTTTCAGGCCCATATACTCCATCAGGAGTCCCCCACTCTCCGAGCTGAGGCATTCTGAGGTGAAGGGGAGTAGTGTTCATACCCTTGCTTGTGCTCTACTGCTGTTAGTACCGATATCGAAGTGATGTCTTCAAATGTCTGCCATTGTGAATCGTTGGGCTGCGCTATTGCTCCTTGAGTTTCCGAAATGCAGCCCCCCAGTGTAGTATCGTTTATGCTTCATCGGCTGTGTTCCTGTCGATGTCCTGACATTCTGAGGTGTACTTGTTTGATTTGGTGACCGTTGTGCCGCATTTGGGTTGTGTTTTTAATTTCCCGTGAGATTCCAATGTGGAGTCCCCCACTCCTCCGTCCCACATTGATGTGAGTCAGAGGGGTAGTTCTACAATTGGACACAATCGTCGCCCGGGGTGCTTCACCCGGGGTGTTGGGATTCATTTATTTTGGTAAGAGGGGGCGCATGTGGACAGGTGGCGTGATTTGGGAGGTTGGGCTGGCCGGTCACGTCGATTGGGCTGAAACTTCGCATGTGCGTGGCCACATGTAGTGACCGTTGATGGCGCTCTCCTATAAAAACCCGGCTCCTGCTCTCATTTTTCCACCCTTGTTTTTTTGAGAACGGACGAAGTGCTGCCCATTTCTAGAGAGAGAGGAGAGTCCCCTTAGTTGTTCTTGACCTTCTTCAAACCTTCAAGGTTAGTTCTTCCTCCGTTCTTCGCGTTTTTTGCATATTTTGCTTCGGGGTCCTTAGATTAGGTGTTCTTGATAAACATGGTTTGATCTGCCAAAGTACCCGTGTGAGTTGTTAGTGATGTCGTCGTCATCGGATTCCCAATGCATATCTGGGTCTCCCGACAGGCTGTCGGAGGACGAGGGGACCTCGTTGAGCTTTAACGGTTTTGAGCGGGAACTGAGCCCGGAAGTCCCGTCCGGTGGTGAGAAACCTTCTGAGGATGGTGCAGCAGAGGGGTCAGGTTCTGAGACCGATAATTCCGATGAAAGGGGGTGTGAGGAGGAAGATGAGCACGCCATGATCGTGTACGAGTCAGAGTTCCTTCGAGAGAATGATGTTGCGGGGCAGGCGGGCTTGGACCTCTGAGACTTGCCCCTCCCCGGTTTCCGTAGGCGTTCCGGTTAAGAAGCGGAGGTACCGCCGTCCAGTTCCCCCCGGTGTGCCGAAGGGATATTCATTCTTGGACTGTTCTTTGCTGAAGAATATCAGACATGAAAATACGCGGAACGATGTGCTTATTGCCCAAATGTTCGTCACTCCTCATGGGGTGGTCCGCGAGCCCGGGCCAACGGATAAAGTACTGGAGCCTCCGAAGGGATATTTTGGTGCCTCCATATTCTGTGTGTCAAAAGGTTTGCGTTTTCCTCTCCATCCCTTCCTGGTGAGCTACCTTGATTATACGGGCTTGAGACCTGCACAGTTATCGTCGAACACTTATGCCCTGATAACGGGGTTCCTACTGAGGTGTAAGGATTTAGATATGGAGCCTTCTCTCCGGCTGTTTGTGAATTTGTTCAAGTTGAGCCGAGGAGAAGGAGTTTCAAGGGGCTTCCCTCTTCTATCAAGCGCGGGAAGGACATGTTTGTCTTCATCTCGGTGGGTGACGAGAGGGTCATCCCGTCCGACTATAATGAGGTCTTCAAAAGGCATCCTGTCGTAGGTAAGAAACCTGCAAATGATATAGCCCCTGCCGTGACGGAGTTTCTCGCTGGGGGGCCCACATACTGGTAAAGTTTGTGACTAGGGGTGCAAATGAGTCAAGCCGCTCGTGAGCCGCTCGCTCAAACTCGAGCTCGAGCCGAGCTCGAGCCGGCTCGTTAAGCAATCGAGCCATAAACGAGCCTACTAATTCTAGGCTCGTTGGCTCACGAGCCTAGTTTTATATATGTCTATATTTATATTAATATATATATATATAATATTGATATACAATATAAATTAATATATGATATATATTAGTATATATAATATAGTATAAATTTATATATATATATATAGGGTGAGGTTCAAGTGAGAAGAAGCCTTTACGTGAGAAATGAGAACGAATATCAGTCGTTGGATTCAGCTATTTTGCAGTAAAAACACTTTATATTGCACTGAAATATGCAACATAGTTTGGTGGCATTTTCTGAAAAATCCGTATTACAGCCATCTAGTGCAACATGAAGCTGTTTTGGAGCAATGTCATCAAATATTAGTGCAATATGAAACAATTTTAGTGCAAAACTGCAAAAATTTAAGTCTTACTGCAACATCAAACTATTTTCAGTGCAAAATCGGAAATCCAACGGCTGAGGTTCATTCTCATTTCTCACATTAGATGCATTTCTCACTTGAACCAATATATATATATATATATATATATATATATATATATATATATATATAATACCGATTCATAAATGTATATGAGGACCGTGGAGATATTATTAATTATAAAGTAATTTAACAAAAATAATCAAAGTTTCATCAACTATTTCTTCATGGTTTGACCACTTTGATTTATATATATTAGAAGTACAACTGGCGGAGAGTTGAAGTTAGGATTATATTTTGTTTATTTTCCCGTAAGTTATTGTTATTGGGCAAGTAAATTGCAATTTGCAAATGTTAAGCACAAATATTTAAAGATTGTTTCATACTTGAGCTCGAGTTCGAACTCGAACTTTCGAGCTAATTGAACTTGTAACTTTTGAACGAACTAAAATTATCGAGCCTTATCGAGCCATGTTATTATTTGCGAGTCGAGCCCGGATTTTTTAAGTACGTTCGAGCCGACCTCGAGCTCGAGCCAATACAATATATTCGAGCTCGGCTCGTTTGCACCCCTATTTGACAGAGGAGAGAATGGTCCTCCTCGGGTATGAGAGGTACCGACTCCCAAGTGAATACAGAGGGGGTTTGTTCCCCGAGATGGTGGAGGAGACGGAGTGGGCCAAAGGTGCCGACGCGCCCGATGCCCAAGGTCGTTGTGCCCCTGCTGGTTCGTACGTATACGTGTGCGCTAATTTACACATCTTATTTTTTTCCCTTCCGACTATGCTTAACCTTCGTTCTTTTTCTTGCAGCGGACGATATGGACAGGAAAACCCTCCTCAATATGAAACAACAAGAGGAGATGGTGGCGAAGAAAGCTGCCGAGGAGGCTGCGAGGTCCGAGAAGGCCCATGG